GGGTTCGTGTATCGCTTGCTATCGATGTTGACCGTGACCGGGAAATGAACTCTCCGTGTCGTGGGTACGTAACGTCAGCGAGTTTAAATACCGTGGCATCGCTCAACCCCCGCATTAATTTATTACGAGGTATTTCATGATGCATGAGATACGTGGTAAATATTGTATAATAGTCATTTTTAGTTTTTTTTTACTGCTACGTTATTTAAAAGGGGATTTTTTTTCCCCTTTTGACCAGGTAAGGCCCACTGAGCTGTACATCTCTTTTTCAGAAGCGACCTGACTCTCACAGATGATAGCTCAGCGAAGTGGCTTATCACCTGGAAATTTATGATAGGCAAATACTCTCAGTGCCTGTTTCTAAATGTGCAGGGAAAACCCGGAGAAAAATCCACGCGACCATGGGGCGATCATGCAAACTCCAAATATACAGCAGCAGGCGTCAGGGTCGGGATCGAACCCACGACCTCCTGTATACCAGGCGAGGTAGTTGACATCTCCTAGCCACCGTGATGATGATGATGATGACAGAGAGACACTCAAACTCCAAATATACAGCAGCAGGCGTCAGGGTCGGGATCGAACCCACAACTTCCTGCTTACCAGGCGAGGGAGTTAACATCTCCTAGCCACCGTGATGATGATGATGATGACAGAGAGACACGCAAACTCCAAATATACAGCAGGCGTCAGGGTCGGGATCGAACCCACAACTTCCTGCTTACCAGGCGAGGGAGTTAACATCTCCTAGCCACCGTGATGATGATGACAGAGAGACACGCAAACTCCAAATATACAGCAGCAGGCGTCAGGGTCCGGATCGAACCCGCAACTTCCTGCTTACCAGGCGAGGGAGTTAACATCTCGCCACAGTGGCGGCCAAACGAATGCGTGAGAGCGGCCTGCGAAGAAGATTGTACAATTCTCGCTAAAGCTGCGACAGTGCATCGAATCGTCGATAAACGCCGGACCTCTGTGCTCGCGATAGCTGCGTCGAATTGCTCGTGTTGTAAAAAAAAAATCTCCATTTATTTATTCATTTATTCATGCGCGTTGTATGCAGTAAAACCTCCCATGATGCTCGTTATGACTTTTTTGTGTTTAGTTTGCCGTTCTTCCCCAGCACCTCCAATTAGCACGGTTGGCTTCGAAAGAAGTTGAGCATACATACGTCGGCGAAACGTCTGTACCCAGTTGTTCAGTGTCATGTGGATCGCTCTCCGACGACATCATCACCAGTGGCAGTGCCGCTGCTGCTGAAGCGGCGATGAATTAGAGACTTTCGTTTATCATTACCGTTTTTTTTTTTATTATTCAACAAGTTCACGGTAGAGAGCGCGAGCGACGGGGAGTACAGATATTCCACGCGACAAGCCCGAGGCCAGGTGCCCTCGGGGTAGTTGGAAGGCAGGGTAGATAGGCTCACTGTCCTACTCACATAGGGGCACCGATCAGCTACGTGTATTTTTTTTGGCCAGGGGTGGGGCGAAGACAAGGATGGGGGGGGGGGGAGTTTACGACGACGACTTAATAATTCTATTAATTGGCTTCGTTGGGTGGAGGAGGGCTCACGATACACGTTTTACTTTCGCGGTCTGATGCAAAAATATATTCTGAATCGAAACGAGACTAATCTGGGGGGAGAGCCTGTTACATTTGTGGGTCGTGCTGAAAATATTATTAGCACTTGAAAAATTACGACCAAGAAAATGAAATCAGTTTAACACGTAGGCTTTCACGACCAATATCATCCATAGTATGGGTTAGAGCGTGTTATTATTTACGCAAACAAACCTTATACTATAAAAATAAAACCCCATTCGCGCGCAATAAACATCGAACGGCGCTTCGTTAACGCTCCGCAGCTTAAAAAGCGAGCCGCTAAACGTTCTGCGATTTCATACTCGACATTAACTGCCATCGTGAAACAATGATAATAAAAAAAGAATTTGGCACGGTTGCACGTTTTTTTGCAGCATGACGCGCGGGACAGCGTTGGCCACGTGCGGTTGGACCACCGCGACATTCCTCGTTATTTAAGCGGTTTTCATAATCAAGGTTTCTTTGGGTTCGATCTCATGAGCATGAATGTGTTGTTAACCCATCGCCAACCGACACAGCCTAAGGGTAACGTTTGTCACGTAAACAAAACACGCCAATTGGTTACCATACTCTTGGTTCTTTCGGTAAAGTCACATAGGTAAAGACAATAATGAAACGTAAAAATAATTTATTTGTATCTTTTATTATTATTTTATTATTATTTATTATTTTCTTTACCTATGTGACTTTACCGAAAGAACCAACAGTATGGATCCTTGCAGTCACGAAAATTTCAAATCTAGACTTGGTTACCACTTCAGCACACCGGTGTGCTGGAGAGTAAACCCACTACAACATTTGCAATTAGAGGACCGTGACGTTTCGATGGCAATTACATCAACCAGCATCATCGGGTTGTCGAGACATTTATACTTGCGTGATCTAACCCCCCCCCCCCCCCAAAAAAAAACCCCTTTTGTTATGAATAAGATTGGTTTCGAAAGCCTCCTCGTACTTCTCCTGCGTGTTAATCGGTTTTTACTGCCGATCGCGGTGTGTCCCGGGGGAGATGCCGCCTCCGTCTGGCATCGTCCGCCACGTAACAGAATCGGTCGCGGAACGTAAATTTAGAATCCGTCTGTGCCGACGGCTCCATTAATTCCGCGGTCGCAGAGGCTGCTTCCGCTTGGAATACGGTTCCTTTTTTGTAACGCTGCGTATTGGAGGGCCAGTAGGTGATTTACCGACTGGTAGTGGTGAAGTATGGTCAAACAATTCCCACGGCCGACACGGTGGGGAGGGAGGCCTTGATCCAGCAGTGGCTCGACAAAGTGACTGTAAATGATTATTACTCATTATTGTTATTATTTTATATGCCAATAAAACTTGAAGCTAAGAGACCACATCTAGACAGAGCAGACAATCAGAGAGAATACACACTTTTTTTTGTAATGATCACTTTTCCTACAGTTTTGCACTCTGATAGTATGTTGAAATTGTATCGTTCTTTTTTGAGTTGTAACTTTCTGACCCACTCCTACTGGACATGTGTTAAGAAGAGCTTCGTTGCTCATTGGGTTTCTCCAGGTTTAATAAATATTCTGATTCTGAATAGAGAGATACGGATTAGCACCGTTGGCTACCTATGGTGCGAAAGAAGTTCAACGTACATACATACACTTAAAGGAATTAATTCTCGAATTGAATCCTTGGCTTTGAATCGTCACGATCCGTCGGATTGCCGGGTACAAGGGGAAGGAGGATTGGGGGGGGGCGTGGGCTGAATTGTTACCGTATTCTCTGTGTTATGAGACGCTCCGGAAAGTAAGACGCACCCAAAACTTGTGCGCCATGCCAAGAAAGTTGCGCAATTCTGGTCTCACTCGCGGAGGGGGGGGGGGTCAGGTGGAAGGGGCAGGGCGGGGGGGTGTGTGCTTCATAATCCAGAGAATACAGTAATGCTCACGGCGTTCAAGAATCCCATCGCTCGCGCTGACATCTCCTGGCCACCTTGGAGGCGAAGCCCAAAACACCACCTGGTACACGCCAGGCTCGCGGTGTATGGGCGTGTGCAGCGTGCACTTGCGACGGCGTGTTTGTGCGAAGCTCACTTCTAGACACATTGCCGGGGCAGGATGTTCACGCCGCCCTTTTGAGGGTGGCTCGGTCGGCTCTTTCCCACTGAGCCTATCCTGCCGAGTTTTTGCAGTCGGGGGGCAATGAGTGATTTGCGGGTAGTTTTTTCAGCAGCGTCGCGATGTTTGGCCAATACCAGTGGCATTGTGTCTTTCTTTAGCTATTGGAAGAAACCGTATAACCCGGAGGAGACCATGCAGAACAGGGGGAGTCGATACAAACGTCACGCAGAAAAGGCCCCTCTTGCTGCGAGGCACAAAGTGTTACCACCATGCAATCCTGGCGCCCTTCGTCAAATTTGTACCATGACACCGGTTTCGAATGAAGTCGGGTGACCTTCGACGTGATCCGTAGTTCAAACAAATCAATCGAGACGCCGGCGTATGGCAGCACGAGCAGTTTATGAATGAAATTAGCAACTGGCGCGATGAATGAATGAATGAATCTTGAACGTCCGCCGTGAAGCAAAGCGGCGCGTATTCGTATGGCGTACGGCTCGTACGCCGGCACCGGCGCGGTAATGACCAGGGCGGCCGGCGGAAATTCCGAGCCGCGGAGCTCGGCAACAAAGCGGCGAACGCGCGTACTGCCGCTGGGCCAGGGAGGCTCAATGCGGAGAATGCGTCGGTGGTTATGTCCTCACAGGGGGTGACTGCTTGGAAAAAAGCAGTTCACGTGATGCTGCTGACACATCCGGTCCTGATGACATCTGGCCACAAGCCCCCCCCCCCCACCATCCTCGCTGGTGGTGGCCGCGGCGGTGGCGGCGGCGGCTTTATCGAGGAGTAGCTGTAATTTCCATTGGGAAGCGGAGCGAGGTCATTTTCATCGTCTTTGCTTCGTGCGCACGTCTCTGTGTGTGTATCTCTCTCTCCGTCTACTCACCCCCCCCCAACGGGGCTGAGATTTCACGCGGGCACTGTACTCGGCGCCGCTAACAAAGTGCCAGCCCAGGGTAGCGGTGGAGAGAAAATGGTCGTGCCTGATGGTGATGTAATTTGTGTGGAGTGCCGTAGCTAGGAGAGGAGCTGGAGAGAGAGAATGGTTCCCCTAATGCACCTCCGATTAGCACGGTCGGCTACGTACATTGCGAAATAAGTTTGACATACATACATAATGAGTTCTCTGACGATGACGTACGAAGTGCAGTTTTTAAGGAGAGCAGCAGTGGAGAGTGAAGGGCCGGTGTTGTTGATACAAATGGTGCTAACGAGTAATCGGATGAAGACGCGTTGAGTGGAGTTGTTGTAGAGAGTGCAGCAGTGGTGAGAGAATGGCTGCCGACGACGACGACGATGATGATGATATTGTGCGTTCCGCAGGTGCTAGCGAGGGCAGGATGTCCGACTGTGCCGAGGCCGTGAGTGACTCTCCCTCGCTCGCCACGGACGGAGCGGACAGCCCGCGGCGGGGACAGGTAATCCGCGGACACTCGACACAACACTCCCGAGTTAACCATTCCGAGTAGTTAACAATGCACACGGACAGCCCACAGTTGCAACGGGCGACGTACGTAGAGACGCACAAAACACTCAACACTCGTAACGTGCTGTGACACCTGTAGATAAACAATTTAACGCTGTTCATCTACAGGTCACGGCAGGGTCCGGCAACACACCCAGACACGCGAAACACTCCTTATGAAACACTCCTCCATCAACACTACAGATGAAGCACATTCATACTCTGCAGGTAGAAATCAAAAATGCAACGATACACAAGTAGAATTCCAGCCATCACACTCCAACTTATCACAATCCACCCTATCACAATCCACCCTATTGCTCTCCACCCCAGGTTGCCAGGGCATTCCAATAATAGAGCCAACGACACGCATGTACAGTGAGGGAAAAAAGTATTTGATCCCCTGCTAATTTTGTACGTTTGCCCACTGACAAAGAAATGATCAGTCTATAATTTTAATGGTAGGTTTATTTGAACAGTGAGAGACAGAATAACAACAACAAAAATCCAGAAAAATGCATGTCAAAAATGTTATAAATTGATTTGCATTTTAATGAGAGAAATAAGTATTTGACCCCCTCTCAATCAGAAAGATTTCTGGCTCCCAGGTGTCTTTTATACAGGTAACGAGCTGAGATTAGGAGCACACTCTTAAAGGGAGTGCTCCTAATCTCAGCTTGTTACCTGTATAAAAGACACCTGTCCACACAAGCAATCAATCAGATTCCAAACTTTCCACCATGGCCAAGACCAAAAAGCTATCCAAGGATGTCAGGGACAAGATTGTAGACCTACACAAGGCAGGAATTAGCTACAAAACCATTGCCAAGCAGCTTGGTGAGAAGGTGACAACAGTTGGTGTGATTATTCGCAAATGGAAGAAACACAAAAGAACTGTCACTCTCCCTCGGCCTGGGGCTCCATGCAAGATCTCACCTCGTGGAGTTGCAATGATCATGAGAACGGTGAGGAATCAGCCCAGAACTACACGGGAGGATCTTGTCAATGATCTCAACGCAGCTGGGACCATAGTCACCAATAAATCAATTGGTAACACACTATGCCGTGAAGGACTGAATCCTGCAAAGCCTGCAAGGTCCCCCTGCTCAAGAAAGCACACATACATGCCCGTCTGAAGTTTGCCAATGAACATCTGAATGGTTCAGAGGACAACTGGGTGAAAGTGTTGTGGTCAGATGAGACCATAATGGAGCTCTTTGGCATCAACTCACCTCGCCGTGTTTGAAGGAGGAGGAATGCTGCCTATGACCCCAAGAACACCATCCCCACCGTCAAACATGGAAGTGGAAACATTATGCTTTGGGGGTGTTTTTTTGCTAAGGGGACAGGACAACTTCACCGCATCAAAGGGACGATGGACGGGGCCATGTACCATCAAAACTTGGGTGAGAACCTCCTTCCCTCAGCCAGGGCATTGAAAATGGGTCGTGGATGGGTATTCCAGCATGACAATGACCCAAAACACACGGCCAAGGCAACAAAGGAAGAAGCACATTAAGGTCCTGGAGTGGCCTAGCCAGTCTCCAGACTTTAATCCCAAAGAAAATCTGTGGGGGGAGCTGAAGGTTCGAGTTGCCAAACGTCAGCCTTGAAACCTTAATGACTTGGGGAAGATCTGCAAAGAGGAGTGAGACAAAATCCCTCCTGAGATGTGTGCAAACCTGGTGGCCAACTACAAGAAACGTCTGACCTCTGTGATTACCAACAAGGGTTTTGCCACCAAGTACTAAGTCATGTTTTGCAGAGGGGTCAAATACTTTTTTCCCTCAGTAAAATGCAAATCAATTTATAACATTTTTGACATGCGTTTTTCTGGATTTTTTTGTTGTTATTCTGTCTCTCACTGTTCAAATAAACCTACCATTAAAATTATAGACTGATCATTGCTTCGTCAGTGGGCAAACGTACAAAATCAGCAGGGGATCAAGTAATTTTTCCCTCACTTGTACGTACGTGTATATGCTGAACACCCAAACGACGGCGCTCACGGTTTCAATTGACGACGGACTTGAGCAAAGTTCAGCGTGAAAACCTCCGCGCGCGCGCGCGCGCTTGCAAACAAGAGGAGAGCGGCAGGCAGGCGCGCCCAGCAGGCCCCCGCCGCTGCCGTCGCAGCTTCCACGTCGATCGTTTGCCGCCGCTCCCGAGCGCCGTAACGAGGCACGTAAACAAACTGGGACGACGGGTCCCTGCGCCGCCGCCGTGCGGCGAGGAAATTTGCCGCGATTGTCTCTCCGTGACGACGCAAATTATTCGCCCGCTGGTGGGAGGAGGGGGGGGGGCGGGGGGTGCGGCGGTTCAGCCGGGCTGCGTTGCTGTTTATGCCGTTGTCGTCATTGTCGTCGTCGTCGGTCGTGTAAGCGTTTGTGTAAAACAGTTGGCGTGGCAGAAGGTGGGAAGGCCCCCCCCTCCCCACTCCCACCACCCCCCACCCCCTCCCCCCCCGGGGTGGCTGGCGGTGCACGATTCATCAACGTGCGATTCGATGGACGCGATTCAAATCGCTTGATCATATTACCCGGATTATGAGAAGGGCTTTCCCCCCCCAACCCATCCACCCACCGCCTCCCCCCCCACTCCCTCGTGGCCGTAGTTTGAATCAAAACTTTGGGATGTGTCTTAACCCTTTCCCGTTCTGAGACGTCTGCAAGTTGCAGGGTGGGGGGGGGTAGGGGGTCCCATTCACCGCTGAATCTGGGAACGCACGAGCGACTCAGCATTAATTTTATTTAGAGAGGCAAAGTAGCACCGTTGTTTTTTAAAGACATTTGCACTTTCCGCAAAGAACCGTGGCGGAAGGACCACACTCTACGATAGCTGACGCCAAACTGCGTCACACGCCCTGCCGCATGGCCTTGTGGGGAGCCTCGGTACCAATAAAGTTATTTCATATTAGTTTTTGTTTCGGTTCCGTTCCAATGACATACACGTACGTCATCGGAAAGGGTTAAAATTATCCGGTAGGTGTAGGTGTCTGTGAGCAACATTTGTATAAATGCATTGGCACCGGGCACAATTATGGGGTGTGTTTTACTTTCTGGAGCTTTTCCTAGTACAGACAACTCGGTCATCAGTCATTTTTTTTCAATAATTTTTTTTACTGACTGGTACCGTCTTGGTTTGTGTTTTTGTGGGTTTGTGCATTTAATTGGCCTAAATCTTTCGTTAGCATTTCATTTGCATGTACTTATCATAAGCAGCAATAGCCGTGGTCACTGCACTGCTGAAGGTAGGCCTCCCCAGGCCTGCCGCCTTCTCTCAGGACCCTGCCTATTTATAATGATCCACTTAGCGCTGCACACGTGGATGTGCGTTGTGACGACGACGACGACGCGTGACGTCGACACGCGATGATCACGCGTGACGACGACACGTGACGACCACGCGTGACGACGACGACGCCAAGGGGGACGACGCCAAGGGGGGGGGGGGGGGGTGGGCCATGACATTACGCTGCCCTAAAAATATCCTCATCCATTTAGCGCTTATTTTTGTTACGTAACCCATGATTTTTGAACAAAGCTTTCACCAATTTGCGCCAGAATTTTACATGGTAAGTAGTCCCTAATAGCAACGCAGCCATGGAACAATAATCCAATTTATATCGGGTCATCATCATCATTATGAGAGTTATTATGGCCCCATGGTACAGACAGACAGATTGATAGACAGAGCTAATGCATTAACGCTTGAAGGATTCGTTGAACATTGTTGTATAACAACGAGTCTCGATTAGTTTCGGAGAGTTAACGCTGCCATGGATCGCTGCTGTTGCCCATGAAGTGAAAACTATTGGAAATTTATAGCAGCCGAATACCTCTAAAACGCGTGATGTTGATTCTAAATGTGGAGGGGAAAACCGGAGGACCCGGATAAAAATCCATGCGACTACGGGGAGAAGACGCAAACTCCAAATATACAGGCATGGTCAGGGTCAGGATCCAACCCACAACCTCCTGTATACCAGACGAGGTAGTTAACATCTCGACATTGTGGTGCCCCATTTCACACGGTTTGCACCCAATTTCATCAAGACAGACATACGAAAGCAGGGACTCATGGACGGATGGGACCGGACTAACGCACTGACGCTTTTCACAATTATTTAGAAAGCGTTAAAAAAAAGAAAGGGGGACACAGAATAAGAAAGCAAACCCCGTCACGTTTGATTTAGCGGCGTGTACCCGTGTGTTATTATTATCGAGCGTGTGTCTGCCTGTGGGGGCGTTGCGCCTTAGCCAACGCGAGCCGATCAATAAGGGTCAAGCGAAGACCGTGATCGCACGCGCGTTTTTGTGTCTCCCTACCCCCCCCCCCCGGCACCCCTCCGCCCCCCAACCATTGCCACCACCACCACTTGCGCAAACGCATGCAGCTGCCGTCTGCGCACTTACCCCAGTCACGCCTCGGTAATCCCATTTCACGTCGCTTCACGCCGGCTCGGGAATCAAAGCGCCATCAGTCTGTCAGTGACACCATCGCTGCTGCCAACGGCCCGGGCGGGGACAATGATAAAGAAGATGATGGTGGTGGTGGTGATGGTGGTGATGGCGGTGGTGATGGTGGTGATGTTAAAGTGAGAGGTGCGGCCCTGCAGCTGCTTGCCCACACCATTTTAGGCGCGGGAGTGGCAAGATGTTAACTACCTCGCCTGGTATGCAGGAGTGCGTGGGTTCGACCCTCACCGCGGCACCTGATTATTTGCTTGTTCTCCCCGTGGGCGCGTGGATTTTTCTCCGGGTCCTCCGGTTTTTCTCTCCACATTTAGACTCGACGTGCGCTTAGAGTATTTGCCTGATTTTAATTTGCTACATCATGATGATAAGCCACTTAGTTGAGCTGTCAGTTGTGGCGAGGTCGCTTCTGAAAGTGAATTACACAGCTTCGTGGGCCTTACCTCGCAAAATAAAAAAATAATTTAGTTTGGGAGCTCTGGGGACCCCCTCTAGAGGGTATGTTAGGCCTAATCTTCTACACTGGCCAGACGTCTTATGAGAAGAGGGGGGCTTACCCAGACTTTAGCCCACCACGCGCGACCTGCCCGATCAGCTGACCGTGTTGGATCCCTCTTCCGCTGCTAGGTGCACCGAGCCGGTGGGAGGGAGAGTTTTAAGACTCTCCCCATTGTTTGAACTGCCTTGCTGGGAGTTTGAATCGATCCGGTTCACCTCTCTATTGCAAGCCCAGTGGTGTGTGAGCCATCACATCACAGTGGCAGCAGCAGCAGCTGACGATGATAACGATCATTTAACACGCAGGAGGAATTCGCGACTAATATTAACCATAATAGAGGTGTTTTTTTCCGGTGTTAGATCGTGTAAATATAAATGTGTCGTTAAATCTGCCACCACCACCCGACACAGCCAATTGGGTAAGGTTTGTCACTTGAATTAAACAACCCACAACGTTTACTCAGATTGTAAAATATTGGGGTTTTACTCTCCCATCTAACCCAAAAAACCCTCTTGTGGATAATGATCACGATGACTGTGTTGGCAGTGTCTAACACTTGGAAGATTTCAGGTGTGAACTCGTGTTTAATTATTTTTCTAATCTAGTGTTTGTGTGTGTAAGACACATTTTAATAATAATTAAAGTTGATAAAGCACCCTTAAACAATTATTCGCAGGGGGCTATGCATGGAAAGGCAAAAAATAGTTAAACATCGACCAAGGAAAGACGAAGTGGGAAAGACTTTTGAAAATAACAAAAAAATGGAGAGAAATCCATTTTAAACAGATGTGTTTTTAGTCGAGATTTGAAGATGTGTAGTGGCTCGGAATTCCCCTGACCTTGAAGGGCAGGGAGTTACAAAGTGTAGGTGGCGGAAAAAAGCCATCACCACCCCCCAAGTGTGTAGCCCAGAGACCGTGGGACAGTGAGCAAATCTCCAAATCACCTGGAATGCACTCATTGGAGCATCCGAAGCTAAGCAGGGTTGAGCCTCGATAGTGCTTGAATTGATGACCGCCGTGCATGCCAGGCTGTCATAGGCAGCCGCAAAGCTGTGCTACGTGGTGGCCAACAGAGGGCAGTCCAGCAACATCTATTTTTGTACGGTGATTCTGTGATCCCACAGGACCACGTTGCCCAACCTTAGCAACCGCCACTGACCAGCGTGGTGAAGTATAGTCAAATAACCCCAACCACCCGCATGGTGCGACAGGGTGACGCTCATCCAGCATTTGTAGAAGAAAATGGTTGTGCTTGCAAATAACATAAATTGTCCATCATAGAGGTACAGAACGTGCCAATTTGTCACAAGTACAGCACACTGGTGTGTTGGAGAGCCAAGCCACAACATTTACAAACTGAGTATGACGTTTCGCCAGTGATTACAACTAGCTTCATCAGGCGATAGCCAGATTTTGCCTGATTAAGCTAGTTGTAATTACTGTCGAAACGTCGTACTCAGTTTGTAAATGTTGTGGCTTGGCTCTCCAACACACCGGTGTGCTCTGCTAGTGACGAATTGGCCACGTTCTGTTTACCTGTTAACCCTTACTAGGCTGTGTGTCGGGTGGTGGCGGGTTTTAACGATGCATTCATATAATTACAGGATCTAACCCAAAATCCTCTATTATGAATGATAGTGATCGCGAAAGCCTACGTGTTAAACTAACATAAATTGTAATAAGATATATGCAAATGTTATGTTTATGCAAATGGTGAGAACGATTGAGATGGAACAAATGGGTTCACCGCAAACAAGGCAGACAGAGCAGACGAGCCGCACAATAATAAGACATTGCGGACAAGATACGCGGTACAAATGTGTCGGTACAGATGCAACGGCGCAGACAGAATGAGACAAGATGGCCCAAGCAAGACATTACAAACATGGCAGAGATTAAATAGCGCACACAAGACCGTACAAACAAAACAAGAATAATCCTCAATCCGTGAATCAAATTGCGACCCTGAGTCATTAATTGAATTTTGTATCACGAGATGGTGGTGCATTCTTAACATTCCCGGTGTGTTTGTATTTATGTCATTACACTACGGGGAATGCAAATGCAGTGGTCCGTGCACTGCACTACGAACCCTGTAAACTGAGTTTAATTCACAGCCGTGGCTGGAAAGTGGTGTCTGAACCTGGTCTAGCCAGGCCTTGCCTATAGCTTCATATGATGAGTGTGCCTGGTACGGTGCATAAATATGCACGCTGAACTTCTTTCGCACCGTACGTAGCCAACCGAGCTTATCGGGGCTGGGATTAGCACGGTATATTGACTCTGGGGAGACAAAGGTGAGCCTGGCGTGGTACTAACCACACCATCCATTCACGTGCCACGCTGATCTTAGCAGATGCTCGCTAACAGCATTTTCCCCCAACAAAGTGATGTAAGGCTCCACTGGGGCCTCTTTGAACAGTGACGGCTTTTTCTTTCACCGAAATGTCACGGCGAGCGTGCAGCAGTAATAAAATGTGGAAATGACTGTCCCGCAAGAGTTAAGTGTGGTCGGTACTTGCTGCATAAGCCCACAATCTAGCCCCGCACACCCCTCCAACAAGCATGGTGATTGCCCCCTTCCAAGCACTATCCTGGCTCAACCCCGCTTAGCTTCCGAGATTTGAAGAGATGTACGTGCGTGTGTTGAACTTCATTTCACACCGTAGGTAGCCAACCTAACTAATCAGAGGTGTGGGGGAAGGATAACAAACTGAACACAATGCATAAGCTCTGTCCCGTCCATGTGTCCGTCTGCAGTGGGAGAGTCAGGATAACATTTACAAATATGACCCAGTATATGGCTGAAGATTTAGTACAAAGTTGCCTTACTTGTAGGGACTTACCCGATAAAAAAACTGGCAGATTCACGAAAGGGTTGCCCAAAAACTTGGTAACTAAAACCAGCGCTGAAAGAACAAAACTTTTGTGGGGCCAAGGAGATGACGTCACTCGTTCGCCTCCCCGTAACGCCATGACGCTCGACGTGATGCAGCACACGCATGGCCGACTCTTCATTGAATAGCATCACGTGATCGTTAACGTCCGCTGTGAAGGTGACGGCGTGGAGTACTCGTGGTTTATGCACTTAGTGTAAATACACTTGTAGTATTAATACACTTATAGTATTAATACAATTGTAGTATTAACCAGGGCGGTCGCAGGGTCTGAACCAGGGTGGTCGCGGGCTCTGAATCACAAACCTATGCAGCAAGAGATGAACGCGCTGCAGCTCGGCCTGTCGCCGCCCCGATCAACCGTTCGCGCTTCATTAACGGGATTAAAAGAGACTTTAAAGTTACGGCAAAGCTCACCATTATAGTACTTTAGTGATGCCACTGTGCCGATGCTGAAGTGTAGCTTGGACGGCACTGTCGTGTTACGATTAGAGTGCTTCTCTCTGTGACCTTAAATCAAATCAATTATAGAACTGCGCTGGCAGTGGTGCAGGAGCACGCATATTGGGACCGCCATCCCTCCCCCCCCCCACGGAGATGGAATCCTCACAGCGATCATTTAAATCCAAGCACACGGGCGTTACGGTGGTGAAATGTTCGATACCTCGCCTTGTATACAGGAGGGCCTGAAGTCTCCTGTATATTTGGAGTTTGCAAGTTTACTTGTGATGGCGTGGATAAAAAAAAAAGTTTTTCCCATTTTAAATAACGCAGCAGTAAAAAAAGCCTAAAAATGACTATTATACAATATTTACCACGTATCTCATGCATCATGAAATACCTCGTAATAAATTAATGCGGGAGTGGAGCGGTGCTACGGTATTTAAACTTGCTGCTGTTACTAACCCGGGCCACGGAGAGTTCATTTCCCGGTCACGGTCAACATCGATAGCAAGCGATACACGAACCCATGCTGGGTGCTGCCCCCCCCCACCCCTCCGGCCAGCCCGTAACTGACCAGCCTGGTGAAGCACGGTTCAACGACCCCCCGCGACCGACGCGGCAGGGAGACGCCGTCATCCGGCAGTGTATCGATACATTATTCATGAATGAGATTGGCCAAACAGCCCAGTGTAGGAGCACCCTGATGAAATAAGTCTTGAGACTCGGAAAGCCTTTCCTGGGTAAATTAACCCTTTAGTTCGAGTAGTTTAGAATGACTCTCCTAAGGGCTTCCACACCCGTGCCCCAAAAAACACCGCTAAAGTTACTATGACCAAAATGCAGAGAGATCACACATCCACCCTATTTGGGTCACCGCTATGTGACACTGACGTTCCCCTCTCTCATTAAAAATCCCTCCTGCACGTTATCCGGAAACTCGGAAGACTTCTTCACAATTCTGGAAAATGGCCTGATGGAGCTGGTTGTAATCAATGAAATATCCGACTCAAATTGTAAATATTGTGGGTTTACTCTGAAACACACTGGTACGCTGAAGTAGTAACTGATTGGCACTTCTTGTTCACGTGACAAACCTTACTGATTGGCTGCGTCGGGCGGTGGTGGGTGAACGACGCATTTTTACTCACGCGATCTCACCCAACAAAAAAACCTTTATTATGAATAATATTGGTCGCGAAAGTCTACGTCGTGGCAAACCGGTGTGCATGCCGCCACGTCCAATGCGCACGCGTGATTTGCCTTCCCCTCGGTTTCCCTCTTTTCTTTTTACTCGGCGCGCTGTGCCACCCAGCTGCTCGACCCGCCGCCCCCGCAGACGGACGTGAAGCTGTTGTCAGCTGTGGGCGCCGACCTCGCCGCCAAGCAGTTCCTGCTGGCCAGCGCCGGGGTCGGCGGCTCAGCGGGCGGCGCCGGCGGGCAGCCTGTGGTCGGGCGCATTCCCGTGATCCTGGCCACCGGTGACGGTGGTGCAGCGCAGCACCTTCAGGTGAGAGAGAGAGGCAGCTCGCTCGCTCGCTTGCGTCCCCACAAGCGCTTGCGGAGCTGACTCCGTCAAAGAGTCCCGTCGGGGAAGTTGCGCAGTCGCACCTCCAATTAGCGCGGTTGGCTATATACGGTGCGAAAGAAGTTCAGCATACATGCATATATAAAAGGCAACCCTGCGCTTGCTTAGGCCACTGTTGGAGGAACAATCTGCCGATCGACGGAGTCCACGAGAGGGAGTTCCAGATAGTCCTCTCCGGTCGGGTTTTATTTAGCCTGCTCTTCCATTGTGCACCACACGTTTAGCAACCCAAGAAGTAGTGTGGGGGATTTCTCTGGCTGCAGAACTCCCCGACTTGAATTTCTTAAGACGTGGCGAAGCGGCCTGGCGGTAGCGCGCTCGCCGCTTGTTGCAGAGGGTCACGGTTCGAATCCGGCGGCCGCCCCGATTATATTGCCGCACGGGTGTGATGACCCTAGTAATACTACAACGCGCCGTCTGCTTCACACCGGATGCTAAAAGATCCCTTGACGTCGTTCGCAAGAGTAGGCCATTTTGCGTGCTGGTATCGAGGTCCAGATTAGCCAAATTCGTCGTCTTCAAGGTGACGTGTCGCCCACGGCGGTAGCGCGGGTGCCCTCCTCGCTCCCCGCGGAGACCGCCCCGCCCAGGATTAATCCCGCGAGTTTATTAACCGTGGTGGATACAGGGACACCTCTACTTATGAACGAGTTAGGTTCCAGAGGTCTGTTCGTCAGTCGATTTGTTCGTAAGCCCAACTTTACTCCCGTCGATTCCAAACACATTGTACGGCATGTACACCAAACGGCGGAGAATGGCTTTCCAAGTTGTATAATCTCCTGTACATGCAGATGCCACTGGTTTTTCATGTTCTGCATATGTAGATGCCACCACCGTCATCTAATGCGCGGTGGTTGACAGATTTGTCCCTATCTATGAAAGTCCAATGGTCGTAAGTAGAGGATTCTCTGTATAGCAAACTAAACTGTTTATTTTTACTAGGTAAGGCCCACTGAGCTATATAGCTCTTTTTCAGAAGCAACCTGACCATAAGTTAAAGCTCAACGAAGTGGCTTATCACGTGGAAATTTATTGCGGCCAAAAACTCTTACATGCGTGTTTCTAGATGTGGAGGGAAAAACCGGAGCACCCGGAGAAAAATCGATGTGTCCGCGGCGAGAACATGCATAGGCTCGCATAGGGATCCATAGACTCACATAGGTACCCATAGATTATTATGTTGACCCATATACTCACAGAGACTCATAGACTCACGTATTCACCCATATAACTCTTATGTTGACCCATATACTCAAACAGAGACCCATAGACTCACATATGAACCCAATGACTCTTAAATTGACCCGTAGCCTCACATAGGGACCCATAGATTATTATGTTGACTCATATATTCACAGAGACTCATAGACTCACGTATGGACCCATATACTCTCATATTGACCTATATACTCACACAGAGACCTATAGACTCACATAGGGACCCATAGACTCTTATCTTGACCCATATACTCACACAGAGACCCATAGACTGACATAGGGCCCCATAGACTCCCATAGAGATCTATGACTGCCTATTTTTAAAATAAATGAATATGCCCACTGTTCCTGTGCAGGTTTTCGGGATGCGGTCGCATTTAGATGCTGCATAAAATCCGCACGCTATTGAATTGTGTTGCTTCCATATCGGAGCGTTCATTGTGGCTGGGCGCAGTGGGCTGATTTCCACGCTGCACACACGCACACACGCGCGCCCGCATGCACACACGTGCACATGCACACATACACGCACACACACAAGCACACCACTCACACGCGTACGCACACACACATGCACACACATGCGCATGCACACATACACGCGCACACATGAAGAATTGAAAGCCTTGGCCCAATTATGCGTTATTGATCACAGAGTCGTATCGACTGCAGAGGATTGAGCATCGACTCGTGCGTGAGGATCGATTGATGCACCCGACGCCTCGTTTAGCCGGCAACGAGAGGCCATGGCCGGATCAGGTTGGGATGGCAAAACTGGTGTTGGGCACCCAACGCTTTGCGCCAGCTTTCCTAAAAATATTTCCATCGCACGGGCTGTTTAAAGCGTTGAAAAAAAAAGTGCTAACCGTGTGGCTCAGGTGAGAAGCGCTGAGCCGGCGCTGTCGAGAACCTGGGTTTGAAATCTGGCTTGAGCTGCAGAGCCTGTGATTAAAACATGGGTTCTCAAGTGTAGCAAGTTGATGGCCTGATGCCGGTCACCAATGTCTTGTGTAGAAACCCATAGACTGATATAGACTGAGTTGTGGTTAAACTGGGTTCACAATTGTAGTGAGTTGATGGCCCCAGCCCAGACAGCAATGCCTTGCTTAGAGACCTAAAGACTTGCATAGAGACTCAAAGGCTTGCATAGAGACCCATAAACTTGCACAAAAACCCATACGCTCGTGTGGACTGAGTGGTGATTAAACTGGATTCTTAAGTAAAGCAAGTTGATGGTATCATCCTGGGCCACTAATTACTGCCCATTAAAACAACCCATCACATTAAATTGGCTTTTGACGCTAATTTGGCTGAATGCCACATCTTAACAATTAAATGTATCAATTTGACTTTCATGTTATGAGTCGTGACTGGGTCGTCCTTTGTAAATTGGAGCTGTTCATCCCAATGAGTCTTGCTGCCATCAATAGGATCTGAGCCTGATTACTCTTGTGTGTCAGGGCTTGTGAAAAGTGCTGTTCTCCCCTACAGAATCAGAAAATTGTATTAATCCTGGAGAAATCCAATGAGCTATGAAGCTCTTTTTAACAGATCTTTAGTAGGGGCACGGGTTCAGGAAGTTGCAACAAGCGATGCAAAAAAGAACGCAATAGGAGTGCAAAGTATAGGAAAGCAAAGCAAATTACTAAAAATAAATACAGTAAAACCTTGGATTGCGAGCATAATTCGTTCCGGAAACGTGTTTGTTATCCAAAGCACACGTATATCAAAGCACTCGTATATCAGTTGTGATCACGTGACGCTCGGCAGTACAAAGCATCTATACGTACCGCTCGTATTGCAAGACCCTCGCTCGTTTATCAAATTAATATTTATTTAAAAATTTTGCTCGTCTTGCAAAACACTCACAGACCAAGTTACTCGCAATCCAAGGTTTTACTGTACGTGAAATAGATTAGGTATATACGTTCAAATTGCGTAAGTACACCAATTCCCAAGCTTGGCCAAGGCAATAAAACAACACCAAAAACAGTCCCAGACCACACCAAGACAACGACACACTGTGCCTCAATACAAATGTATCACTTGAATTGATCTCAGATGTAGCTCTGTGATATTCGCTTCTGTGGGATGTTCTCTTTTGATTATTATTATGTATTCTTGTTTACTCGGGAAAGCCATGCTGGATTCCATGACTGTTTTCAAAGTAGAGGGGAATGGTTGCTATGTATCAATCGCAATTGAGCAATTAGCGGGTATTTTGTTTGTTGTTGTTGGGAAAATTTGGATCGTGAAACTGACACGGAGGGTCATGCAACACTGCAAGTGATCCGAACGGATTCATCTTCTACACGTGACGACAACGGCACAATCGGGATAGAACTGACGAAAATAACTTATTCATTAAAATGTAACGTTTTATTAAATGGTGACTTACTTGATGAGATATCACACATATACTCAGGCTGAGCAAGGTTTGTGTGTGGGGTTAGGGATAGATGATATTTTGGGGAGAGAGAAGAAACCTCCGCAAGTCCACTCTCTGGATTTTATTCCGTAAACGCTCTTTTGAAATGTGTAACAAAGGACAACAATTTCCTCTCTGGCAATTAATGCCATGAAATACATCTGCAGATCCTCAGTAGCTAATAGTCAACGCTGTGACTTTTATAGTACAAACCCCCCACCCCACCCCCGCCCTTTCTGTGAGCAATGGCATGCTCCACAGGCATAATCACGTTGACGCTCGAGATGGATTGTGCCATTTCCCATGGGGGGTGTTTTGTAGGAACGCAGGTGGGTCTTGCTTTGCGGTCAGTGCCGCGTGAGCATTCGCAACGGGAGAAGCGGTGTGTCCCAGGGTCTTTAGTGCATACGGTAATGGGATGTTTCCACAGTGTAATGGTGAACAAACACTGCGCTTGCAACCCAGAGGATTGCCAGTTCAATTAAATCTCCCGGCGCCTACGTCAAGGGCCCTCGCGTCCGTGGTCCCGGCGACTGCGATCCAGTTCGCCTCTAAAATGAACGGCAAGGCCGTGTTCTTTTTGGAGTCGGAGAGAGTGGCCTTTGCAGCCATGGCCCAGGGGTTGACGGTGGGTGACCGGTACGTCGCTCTGGAGCCACTGTCCTCACCAGCGGCGCGGGTGATCCAGGTTGCCACCCTACATCCTGGACAAGGACATCCAAGAATGCGTGACGACACTGGGCAACGTCAGAATTGTGCCCCACAATTTACTATATACCAAGGCCACCATCAGGTGTCATCTCTTGAAGGGTGAGGGACACTTTAGGAGGGAGTGGAGAGGGAACTAATTTTTCAGCCACTTCAGCAGCACCCCCTCGGGAGTAGCAAATGTGTTCTCACCAAACTTGGTGGAAGGGAAGGCCCTTGACGTCACGATGCAGATCAGCAAGACCACCATTCACCTTGTGAATTGTGTACGCTCCAACCACTGACAGCGAGAGACCCAGGTTTCTGCAGCGCGCCTCTTTAACAGCGAAGGCGCTCTTAGTACAAATAGTGAGGAAGTAATATCAACAAGGGGATTTTACAGCGACCTCTTGTCTCCCGAGGAAACATCTGCGCCTGCCCAAGAGGAGATCTGGAGGGACCTCCCCGCCATCGGGAGGAAGCGAACGAGCTGCTGGAGCAAGGGTTCACGGCGAGCGATCCGGAACGCAGCAGTGAAGTCCCTGGCAAAAAATAAATGTTCGGGGATCGAGGGTCTCACGCCGCACGAGCAAGACCGAGCAGTTCTTGGAAGAAGCGGTGGCCACAGGAGCCATGCGTCTCAGTCGTGGAGGAGGGCGGTGCTCACCCTGCACCTTAAGAAGGATGCCCTGAGGCATCGGAAAAATTTGCCATGGTTGTCAGTGCTGTGCACAGAATACAAAATCCCGGCCAAAGCGCTGTCCTCCAAATTGAAGACGGTGCTGGCTGAGGTGGTGGAGAGCGACAAGGCCTACACGGATCTCATCGCCCTCTCCGAGAGAATTGTGCTCCTACTCACGCTCCTCTCTCTCGACCAGGAGAAGGCATTCGACAGGTTTTGATCTTGGGTATCTGCTGGGAACATCGAGGGCTTTTGTGTTTGGGGCCGGATTCATTGGTTTGATCTTTCCTGCCTTACCCCGAAGCCCAGTGGTGCAGTTTCACCACCAAGACACGCTGAGGACCCACAAAGATCTCGCCTGGAGAGAAACCCTCCCCTGCGAAGGCCAAGATAAACCTCTGTGGAGGAGTTTCTACTTCAGGCCGTCCTTACAAGTGCAATGGGAACTTCAGTAGGAGCCTGGCCCACACCACCACCAACGCCGTCCGAGCGAGGTTCATGAATACCGACCCTCAGCCTTCTCTGTGCGGTGAGCAGATGGAAACGGTCGCACACCTGTACACCCAGTGCAAGGCTCTGGATTCATTATTCAATCTCTTGCGAAACATGCTGCTGAAGGGCAACCTGCACTTTTCCCCCACGGTGCTCATCTTTGGCCAGTGGGGAGACGGGGCTGACAAACGCCGGGACGGCCTCGTGACTGCCCCGATGAGCTACGCCAAGCTGGCCATCTACAGGGCGAGGGAGGCGGCGGTGGAACGGAGCCGCTCACCAAACGCCCGCGGCATCTTCAGGGCCCTGCTCTCTGCCAGAGTGTGGCTGGAGTTCCGCCACGCCCAGCTCACCGGGGATTTTGGCAACTTCCTGCATCGGTGGGCGGCGGAGGGCGCCGTGTGCTCTGTGCTGGACAATGGAGAGCTGGTTATGATGGACAGAGCTGGGCCTCCTCCTCCTGGCAGAATCTCTTTATTTGCATGTGTATAGCGCACTTCCTTATGGGCACATTCATTTCGTTTGCTGCACTTACGTCCAAGGTTATTGACAATCACGAGTAAAACAAACAAAAAAAACAACAACAAAAACAAAATGATGACTGAAGGGTGCTCACGATGGTGAACAAACCTGAGACTGATGGGGGAAAAAAGAGGGAGGAGGAGGAGGACTGCACGCACGAGCCGCTCGGCAGCGACATCCATTCTCCCCGTCACGCCCGGCGCTCTTTGTGGGAGAAGAAAGGGGGCATTGATCGTTTTTTAGCGGTGCTGCTGCTGCGGAGAGAAAGGCGGTGGCGGAGGGGCAAGGTCGCCGCGCCGGCGCGTGCGTGTAACCTCTCCGGCACGTACCCCCGAGTCCAAATGGCGGCGGTGGTGGCGGCACTGATGATGATGCCACCGCCCCCCGCCGCCCCCCCCCCATGGCGACCAAATCGGTTTTGCTGTCCCGCCGCTGTTGTTGCCGTTGAAGTCGTTTTGTTTTGGGCTGACCGCGCGTAGGGATCGGAGAGCGGACAATCGCAAGAACCCGAATGCCGCGTTGCCGTCCAGCTTCTGTCTTGCTGTCAGTCGCTTGTGTTGGAAAATGTAGGCGTACAGATAATCTTTTCTTGTTACGATATCGTTAGTATTGTTACGGCAGTGCGATATTCGTCACATATATGCGCACTGTTTTAGTTATGGATTTTAATCGTGTGTACGCGTGCCGTCACGTGTGTTGCTGTCGTGTGTGTCGGTCGACACCCCGGGACGCCCTTGCAAACGAGACGTTTCATCTCGAGCGATTTTTTTTTGCTGGTGAAATATTTGAACGAATTTAATAAAAATCACTCGAGGATTTAACGGCCAGCCCTCAATTTATCTAGGGTGATGGGGTGGCGAGGTGGCTCGGCGGAAGAGCGACCGGCTCCCGATCAAAAGGTTGCAAGTTCAAATCATGGTTTTGGGGGTTTGCTCAGCCCATCATCTATCTCTCCGGTGTCAATTAAATAAGTACCACAATGTTTTGGCTCTGCAGAACTGTGATCAGGCCTCAACCCTCACTTGAACAAGAATTCGCCTGGGAGTTTTTCACTCTTGAGTAATCGTAATACATTAATAATTCTACTGTACAAGCCCCTTTGCCGTCAGTCCAATCCTGGATGAAAGTCTCTCCCCGTGGCCGTGTCAGTCGCAGGGGCTGTCCGCTTCACGTCTCTGACCTCTGAGCCACCGGCCGACCACCTCTACAATGCGCCGCAATGTTAAACAGAGACAATCGATTTTTGAATGAAATTGTTGCCGTCCCACCCTCGTGCTCTCTGCTCTAATCTACCGCCCTCCCCGCTCTGACCCCTGATCCACGACCCCCGGCATCTTCCCCCCTCCCGCCTCGACGGCAACGCCTACCCCATTCCTGCCTTCGCCGAACCGCTGCTTGTCAGCTGGTGACGGACGCCGGCACGTCAGAGTACCTGAGCGCCATTCAGGGGGGTCCCAAGGAGAGTGGGGGGCCCTCATCGGCAGCGGCGGCGGCGGCGGCGATGCCGGTGAAGCACGAGGCACGGCTAGTGCCGTCCACGGTGGAGCACTGCGTGGTGTGCGGGGACGTGGCGTCCGGTGAGCCCGTGGGCATGTGGCCAATCCTCGTGCCCCTGCTCACTCTTCCTCGACAATCCTACTGCTCACTCTCCCTCTACACTCCTCTACAATCCTCCTGTTCACTCCTCTACAATCCTACTGTTCACTCCTCTATAATCCTACTGCTCACTCTTCTACACTCCTCTACAATGCTAGATTTGAAGCTTTCGTGACTGCAAGGATTCATACTCTTTGGTTTTATTCGGTAAAGTCACATATATAAAATAAAACAAAATTAAAGAAAATAATTAAATCACGACGGTTATGAGACAACACAAGCTTCCGTCTTCAGGTGGAAAAGTCAACGCAGATTTTCTTTTATTTTGTTTTATTTTATCTACGTGACTTTACTGAATAAAACCAAAGAGTACTCCTCTACAAATCCTACTTTTCACTTCTCTACAATCCTACTGTTCACTTCTCTACAATCCTACTGTTCACTCCTCTACAATCCTACTGTTCACTCCTCTACAATCCTACTGTTCACTTCTCTACAATCCTACTGTTCACTCCTCTACAATCCTACTGCTCACTCCTCCTACACTCCTCTACAATCCTACCACTCACGCCTCTACAATCCTACTGTTCACTCCTCTACAATCCTACTGCTCACTCCTCTACACTCCTCTACAATCCTACTGTTCACTCCTCTACAATCCTACTGTTCACTACTCTACAATCCTACTGTTCACTCCTCTACAATCCTACTGTTCACTCCTCTACAATCCTACTGTACACTCCTCTACAATCCTACTGCTCACTTCTCTACAATCTTACTGCTCACTCTCCCTCTACACTCCTCTACAATCCTACTGCTCACTCCTCTACAATCCTACTGCTCACTCCTCCTGCTTCTCTTCCTCACTCTACTCCCTCTGCGGTCTGGGACTGTGTTGTTGTTGTTTTCGCTGTCTTGCCCAAGCTTGATAAATCGGACTGAATGTATTATTTATATATGTATTGTGACTTGCTTATCCTTCTAAATTAACTTGCTGACCCACCCGTACGGGACATCTGTGAAAAACAACTGCTCGTTGTTGTGGTTAGTTTTGTTGTCCTTCCCCCGCACCTCCGATGAGCACAGTTGACCTACGTACGGTGCGAAAGAAGTTCAGCATACATACATAGCTCATAGGATTCCTCCTCCAGTCTAAAGAAATATTCTGATTTCCATTCTCTCTACATCAGTGGATAACACCCCGGCAGGTGACGATTTAATGACGACGATGCTCATGATGTTGCCACATTCTCTCGATCTCCCTGTCGTCTCTCCTCCTCCTCCCCCTGCTCCACTCAGGGCGCCACTATGGTGCCATGAGCTGCGAGGGCTGCAAAGGCTTCTTCAAGCGCAGCGTGCGTCGCAGCGTCGTCTACACCTGCCGCGGCAACCGCGACTGCCTCATCACCAAAAACCACCGCAACCGCTGCCAGTACTGCCGGCTGCAGAAGTGTCTGCTCATGGGCATGCGGCAGGAGTGTAGGTCGCGCCGCTACGGTACACATGCACCGCCACGGCAAGGGACAGAGGATGGGGGGGGGGGGGGGCGTGGGGGGTGGGGGGATGGGGGGGGGGGGGTATTCATAATGGCTGTGTCAGAGCCGGCACAGCTGAGATGTAGAATTGGTATCTCCGAGAGCGCCGGTTTTGACCGCGTGCGATTTTTCGTGGGTCGTCCAGCTACGGGGGTCAACGAGGGGGAAAGGGGGGCGAATGGTTGTACGTACGTGCGTTGAACTTCCTTCGCACCGTACGTCGCCAACCGTGCTAATCGGAGGTGTGGGGTAAGGACAAACAAACTTAAACACAAAAATCAGTTTTAAAGAAATGAGTTTGCAATCTAGATTTAAAAGTGCATAGCTGCAGTGGCTTCGTAATCAGCTTTAGTGGCTTCCTCAGCCATTGTGAACCACAATAGAAGATCCTTTGTTCCAATCTAGGCAGATGTTTGTATGCCGGGTTCTCAAGTGTCGTGACTTTAATGGTTTGCAAACACACCGTCAACCCTTCTGTGGCTTTTACAAGCCTCAGTCATCAACGCTAAACCCCGAGGTGGCCATGTGCCGCAGAGGACAGTGCACCGAGCTGGCAACGCTGAGGTCCTGGGTTTAAATCCAGGCGACTGTCTGCGATCAAACTAGGCCCTCAAGTGTGGCGAGCTGATGGTCTCAGCCCGCGCACAAAAAAAGTCGCAAGTGCGCTTAGTTTGACAAAGTTCCAGTTCGGAGAAATAAATATGTTGGGTTGACTTTGCTGGGGCGAACATGACAGAGGGGTTTGGAAAGCGTTACTTAGTACTGTGTAGACCAGAGGTCAATGTAAAGGGCCTCAGGAGTAGTTCTCCGATATCCGCTTCCACAGATCTCTTTCTCTCTAACACGAAAGGGTGTGACTGCTCTGCGAAAGATCCTGATGGATGCGTCATATCGTGACGTGACAGCTAAATGGCACACTGGGAACATAAAAATAGTGAATCTTTTTTCTTAAAACAAATATGCGTGCTTCGCGGTTTGGATTTTGTGGGAGGCAAATTCTCTTTGGTGAAAAGAAAAACCACCTAGGGGCTGCTTACGGTGCGAAAGTAGTTCAACGTACACACACACACAATAAAACACACAACTCGGACGCGGGAAACGTCGGCTAGTGGCGGCAATGCGTGTTCGTTTCCTCACTGATCTCAGAGGTGGCACCGCGCTTTTGGGCCTCGCCAAGGAAAAGCGTGAATCGACCCGGGGTGGTGCATGGACCTTGCACTGAGAGACTGCTGCATGTTGATTCTAAATGTGGCGGGAAAAAAACGACCATGGGGAGATCACGCAAACTACAAATATACAGTAGGCGTCAGGGTTGGGATCGAACTCACGACCTCCTGTAGACCAGGCGAGGTAGTTAACATCTCGCCACCATGGCATCCAATTTCCCGTAGAAAAATCCACGTGACCACAGGGAGATTGACACGCAAACTCCAAATATGCAGGCGTCAGGTTTGGGATCGAACCCACAAACCTCCTGTATACCAGGGCACCGTGGCATCTAATCATCACTCGCCACCGATGTTAGCTGTGACTTAGAATCAAATGTAATCAGTGGGTTCGAAGCGCAGTGTGTGAGCCAGAGTTCCACTGATCCCCCACATATTATAAACATTATCAAGAGTATAACTCAATCTTGTTGAAAAGTCTCCCTATCTGATATGTATTTTTGTACCCTCTTCACGCATCCTCACTGCAACGGTTTCATTTTTTTAAGGACGCTTTTATTATTTATAATCAATGAATATATTTTTTTACTCAGCCCCAGGTTACTGAGAGTTTGCATGACTGAGTCGGAGGCTTTTTTTCATTCAGCCTCTCGACAAAGGCTAAGCAGGATGGTGTTTGATATTCATTCCTCCTTTCAGACATCTGTTTAAGAGAATTTAAACGTTCATCGGTAGAGAAACCTTACCTGAACACCACTTGTTCCTGTGGTTGTTGGTTGGCCCCTCAATGTTTTGATGATGACAAAATCGATGATGCTGACAACGATCATGATGATGATGACCATTATGATGATGATAAGGATGATACTGCCAATGATAACATGCTGATTTTGATGATGTGAATGACGATGATGAAAATAATGACGATGATGACCATTATGATGATAAGGATGTTACTGACAATGATAACGTTGATTCTGATGACGTGGACGACGATTAACGACGACGACGACGATGATGATGAATGCGATGACGACGATGGTAGCCCTTTGCCATCGCTGACCGAACTCTGGCCGTTTGTCGGCAGCGGTGCAGAACGAGCGGAAGCCTTCGGACAAGGCGGGCAGCGTTTCATCGGGAAAACCGTACGGCAGGAAAGACTACTCGGGGCCCGTGTCGTCCTTCTCCTACAAGAGCAGCGCTCGGTACGGGTATGCCAAACCAAATACTTTTTCTTTTCGTTTGTTCCTTTCGTCATTTGTTTTTTCCTCGCATGTGCTATTGGTGTTATGTGGGGCGTGCCACGGTGGCAAGATGTTAACTCCCTCGCCTGTTATACAGGAGGTCGTGCGTTCCATCCCGACCCTGACGATGCCTATATATTTTGAGTTTGCATGTTCTCTCCGTGGTCGCGTGGATTTTTCTCTGGGTCCTCACGCTTTCAGAGTATTTGGCTGCTACGAACTTCCACACGATAAGCCACTTCGTTGCAACTATCATTCATGGTCAGGTCGCTTCTGAAAAAGAGCCAAAAAGCTCAGTGGGCCTTACCTGCTGAAATAAAAAAGAGTTCAGTTTAAAGTGTCCAGTCGGATTTCTCGCAGCGCAGTATCACCCTCTGTGTTAGAGAACGGCCCAAGGAAGCGGGTATCACAGAGCTAGCTCTGAGATATCTCCAAGTGACCGTTGGTCTGACACGGTAGAGACAGCTTTCCTTGCTCAATAAAAGAGGAGGTTTATTATCTATAGATGATAAGATTTAGTCCCGGTTCAGAAGGTGATTGTTCAGTCGGACCAGGTACAAACATGTTGGGAAGAAATGGTGGTCGTTTGTCATCACCCCCCTATAATGCCGCTCCTGCCCTCCCTGCTGAGATGGTCTTGAGTCTTTAGAGAGTTTTAACGAAAGAAAAGAAATCCATTACAGAATTGTGTCAATCCACTGTGGGATGAAGGCTTCCCCGCATCATTGAGGTCATGGAGATTGATTGATCTTACGTCACTACTTTTTGGCAGGGCATGGAACGAATTATCCGAAAGCCAGTTGAGACGTCACTCGCTATACTGAATGGCAGAGATCCAGGATCTAATCAGATATCACTCGCCACCGATGTTACCCATAGTCGGGAATTGAACTCGGGTTGCCGGGCTACATTGCGTGATGTGGTGTGGCGCGGCGTGGTGTGGTGTTGTGGCAGGCTCCTCGCACCATTTGACTCGTCGCCCATGGAGGAGGGACACCAGGCTCTGCGGCGTCACGATGGCTCCATGCTGCAGAGCAGCAAGGTGAGTGGCTTCACAGAGCCCCTTCCCCTTGTCCCAAATCTTTCGCGTGAATCTTGCAATTTGTCCCCCGGTTTAACGCTTTTCTCGCCTCGAGCTGGAGACCTGTGGCTCGTGCAAAACGCGGTGGGGTGGGGGGGCTACTCGAGCTGTAGGCGTCGATTGGCAAGAGGAGTGGGGAGGAGGGACTATTAGAAGACCACTCACTGTGTGCGGAGCTAGCGGTTGAGTGGACGTGGCTATGTAAAAGTGGGAGGGGGGGTGGAAGGGAATGAGACGAGACGGGAGGGGAGGGAGGGAGGGAAAGAGACGGGAGGGAAGGAGGGAGCTGCCAGCTCTTCATGTGTCCTGGGCGATACAACGCGGAGAAGAGCGTGGGGTGCCATCGCAAACCCAATTTGTTTCGTTTTGTATTGCAACCCCCTCCCAGCTGTCGTCCGGCCGAGGGGACCTGAACACCCTGGCGAGCGTGGTGACGTCCCTCGCCAGCCTCAAGAAGGAGGGCGGCGGCTGTGGCCTCGGCGGCTTCGACAGCCAGAGCAATGGCGATGGCGCCGGAGCCGGCCTCGGCTGGCAGAACGGGCACACGCCTGTCGCTCCTTCCAGGTTCGTACACGATGACCTGAACCCCCGCCACGACCTTGCCGTGGCCTCGCCACGACTCCGCTGCAACGCCGAGCTCCACCGACACCCCACCGTGATCACACCACGACCTCACCACGACCCCACCGAGAAGCCACGACGATGTCACAACCACTTCACCACAATCCAATCTCAGCCCTGCCACGACCCTGCCACGACCCCACCACGACCCCGCCACGACCCCATCACGACCCCCGCCACTACCCCGCCACGACCCAACCACGATCCCACCATGACCCCACCACGACCCCACCATGACCCCGCCATAATCCCACGACGACCTCAGAACTACCCCACCAAGATCCGAACGTGGCTCCACCATGACCTCACCATGACGCCACCACGACCCCACCATGACCCCACCGTAATCCCACCACAAATCCATCACGATCCCACCGCTACCCCGCCCGTGACCCCGCCACGAACCCACTGTGTCCACACCCCCACAGCAGCCCCCCGCCAGCCACTCCCTTTGTAATGAGGCCGTGTCCAATACACACGTGGCTGGGCCCGTCCGTGTCAAATCAACAAGGGCTCGTCAACTGCATTTTTATTAGATTTTCCTGTAAGGTTTGGCAGCAAGTGGTGTGAGAGATACGGAGACAGGTTTCCCAAATTTTCTTCACGTTGTTACTCACCACGATAGTAATGTCTAACAGGGGTGGGGGGTGGGTTGGGGTTGACAGCGCTGGCGCGACACACGTATCCTTACAGGCATTGTTAGGAATATCTTAAAGGGGCCTGAGCAAGACAGAAAGCCATTCGCAAGCGCAGCGAGCGGCAGAGGCCAGGACAGAGGCCTCTTGGATTTGGTGAGGTCTTCCAGAAATATGGCCAATATTTTGAGGGATTCAAATTATGAATTGTAATTTATTTTCTGTGTTGGACATTCTGATTGTCAAGCAATCATATTAGTTGTCCGTTTCTTTTCTAAATGAAAACGATTTGTTCACGTTTGCAAACGATCTACGGAGTTAAATGTCAGTGTTTTACATAAAATTGGTGGCATAATTATGGTCAACACAGTAAGAAATAAAAACGGTGATATATGCATATATATGAATGGTGGAAGAGACCAACATTTTAAGCACAATCTATAAAATCACATTTGTGTGTCCTATTATTGCTATCATTCATATCCATTCACAACATGTGACATGCATAAGACAAAGATCCCCTATATAGCCTTAACAGACTGTGGGGTCAAGTGCTGTTAGCGAGTAGCACCTATGAAGGCCGACACGGCACACGGGGTAGGTGGCCAGCACCATGTATCCCAAGTGGCGATGTCTTCCAAGTGGCGATGTTTATACATCGCACCAGGTACTAATTTGAGGCTGAGTCGACCTAGGAGAGGCTCAGGACCGGTTCAGATAATCGTTATTGGTGTTGGCCATGAGCAGGAATAGAACTCGGGTTGCTGGTTTCGTAGCGCAGCGCGTTTACCATGGAGAAAGATAAAGATCCACGTATAGTCTTAACAGACTGTTGGGGAAAGAGCTGTTAGCGAACACATGCACACACACACACGTGCACAGCAGCTGCTGTTAACAATTCTGCTCTGCTACGTGTCGCGGGCATGTGTCCCGCGTGTGCCTGTAGGGGCTTTGGGGCGCTGGGCAAGGCTCTGGGGGTCTCCCGCGACGGGGGAGAGGGGGCCGATAGAGGATCCCACTCCGAGCTCCCCTCCACAAGGTGACTGCCATCGCGACGGGCAAGCCGCACTGCCCCTCGTTAGGACTAAACTAAACAATGTTTTGTTTTACCAGGTAAGGCCCCACTGAGCTATGTAGCTCTTTTTCAGAGGCGACCTGGCCACACAAATGATTGCTCAATGAAGTGGCTTATCACGTGGAAATTTATAGCAGCCAAATACCTTAAAACGCATGTTTCTAAGTGTGGAGGGAAAAGCCGGAGGTCCCGGAGAAAAATACACGTGACCACGGGGAGAACACGCAAACTCAGAATATACAGGCATCATCAGGGTCTAGATCGAACCCACGACCGCCTGTATACCATGCGAGATAGTTATAATCTGGCCAACATGGCGGTAACGAGACGGTCCGTGCGGTGCCCGCTGTGCCCACGGTGACTTTAATGAGCTGGTAGCTGGGTGGCCGACAAATATCAGGCAGTTTAGCAACATTGCTATGAGCAATCCTGACTGTTGATGAGACACTGGAAATCGAAAACCGGTTCAGAGTTTGCATTGATCCAATGCTGTTGTGATTATTCACTCCCAGGTGTCTGTGTGGCTGATGGGATGTAAAACATTTTTTAAATATTATTTATTATTCAACTGGGTTTTCAAGTGCAGTGAGTTGAAGGTGTGAGGTCGGTTACTGAATCCGACGTTCAATTTGACGAGAAATCGAACTCGGGTCACCAGGTTCATAGTGCATTACGCTAACCACTCTTCCACCGGATTCTCTGCCGCTAAGATGGTTTATAAACCAAACATTCTCCAGAAGCGCTTGTTTCAGCACATAATCCCTGGAGCAGTGGTGGCGTTGCTGATTATTTCTACGATTATGTTTGCTCCTTGTCCTGTCTTAGATCTCGGCCCAAGATGGAGCCGTGCTGTGGAGAGTCCCTGCTGACCGCAGACCATGCCGAGTTTGAGGTATCTGCGCACAGAGTGCTTGCTTACATACAAAGTGCTTGCCACAAGGGAACCACAATGCCTTGCTGATCTCGTCAAAGAGCATAAGCCATCGTGCGAACTCCGGTCATCATCGCAGCAGCGGCTTTAGACTGGCCATCGAACAAAGACGGATCACCGCATCGCGCGCTTTCAGATGCACTTCTGTGGCCGTCTGGAACGCTCTTCCTTCCGTTATTTGGAAGCCACTGGAGCTACGCAACGTTTATATGTAGATTGAAAACTCATTTGTTTAGAGCTGTTTATTTTACTTTGTTGTCCTCCGCACCTCCAATTTAGCGCGGTTGGGTACTTACGGTGCGAAAGAAGTTCAGCATACTTACACGCAGAACCATCGGGCACAGCGACAGCCGGAACACCACCACTTGGTTCCGACCCAAGCTTCGCTACAGTCGCCGAGCAATGTAACACTCGCTGGTAGTCAGAGGTGCTACGGCGCAGAGGTCATGGCGCTGAGCCAGCACCGCGGAGATCGGGGCGGTGGCACTGCCCAGCGGTAAGCACAATTTCTGCTCGGCGCAGAGGCTTGTGCTTTGTATCCAGCAGGCCGCTCTGGTAAATACTGCGGGTGCATCTACCTTAAATTATGCCCCCCAAGTTTTTTCACGGTGGTCCGTTAATAGATTCCCATGATGTCGTTTATAAAGAGTAGGCCATTGTGCGCCGGCGTCTTGGTCCGAATTTGGCACAAATTGTAGGATGACCCACGAACATCGCCCTCCTGCTCTAAAAACTATTTCAGACCATAATTATAGGGGTTTTCCCCTGTTTCCTGGCAACAAAACTGAAACCTTTTTACAAGGATTCATGTCTGCAATAACCACAATACGTGCAGTCAAAATGCAAACAAAAAACATACTATGATAATGTGATGCATTGTCCTTGAAACTGATTGGTCCACACCAAAGGGACGGCTTTCTTTTGAGCCTCGACCCAATTGGTGCTCGACCAGATGACGCCAGAAGATCATGTTCCGTGAAATCTAGCGGCCTCCTTCGTGACAGCCTTGTGCCGTAAGAACGGCGCGACGTGCCAAACGTTCTTAATGATCATTATTCGTGATTATCCCAAGCGCGATTCCGGGCTTCCGCCTCCCCCGATTAATGCCATGCTCATACTCGCCTCGTACTTTCGCGCGCGCCAGATTCATTCTTAGCAGCTCCTCACTCAGTAACTGGGTACCCATGTGACCGCATTAGACGTCGGCAAGTCGTCCCGATTCACTTTTACGAGCAATAAACACCTTAGGAGCGAGGTTGAGAGCTCCAAGGAGGAAGATCTTGGGGAGAGTTGATCAGAGGAGAGAGGACGTCACGGTGAGTTGATCGGAGTAGAGAGTGAGTTGAGAGTTGCAGACAACGGGGGGGTCTTTATCAATTAAGCAGTAGCCAACCAACCGTGCTAATCGCACCTCCGATTAGCACAGTTGGCGACTTGCGAACGTACGTACAAACTTACAGACGACGCGCTCACAGTCTTCACCCCCACTCTACGTGTGTAAGGAGTTAAATAGATTTTCATAATAGAGGTTTTTTTGGGTTGTATCGCGTAAATATATAAAACCCGCCACCACCCGACACAGCCAGCTAGTAAGGGTTGTCACGTAAACAGAACGTGCCAATTCGTCACTAGTACAGCACACCATTGTGTTGGAGAGACAAGCCACAATATATACCATCGGAGTACGACGATTCGCCAGTAATTACAACTAGTTTCATCAGGCGACAGCCAGATTTGTGGAGAAGTCCACTTGTTTTGTTCCTTATATAGAGGCGTAGATGTGGTGATCTAACCCAAAAAACCTCTTATGTATGATATTTTTCACGAAAGCCTACGTGTTAAATAGATTTTCACTTGGATTATCAGTGTGCGTTGGTTTTATCTGTGTGTAATTCACACTCCGTGCCCCGCCCACTCGGGTCAAAAGTCAAAAAAGTGATTTGCTGCTCGGATGAGCATTAAGGCGGTGCTCGTTTCCTGTTTACACCCGCCCTTAGCCAGTTGTGGAAATTCCCCATTCCTGCGCCGGGGGCGAGTCTTGTCTGTCGAACAATGGTTGTTGACTTCCCCAAAGGGTATTGCTCATTTTATCCACCCCAGACGGATGATGGGCTGTGTCAATGCCAAACCAGGATTTCACCTCGCAAGCATTGCGATTTCGAGCCACATGCTCTTCTGCTGAGCCACTGACTCCCGTATTATCCCGGATATAAATTTGAGAGCTGGCCACAACGTCGTGGAGCGATTTTATTTCGGTAATAATAGTCCACAAATATTTCAACCCGAGAAAATCTCCCCGATTGGACGTCTCGTTTGACACGCACGTGAGCAAACGAGTGATGGCACCTCGACAAACACTTAGAATCTACGACCCGCACGGCGTGCATTCATACGGTGAATATCGCACTCGCATGGAATGCATGAAGAAAGCATATCCATAAATAATTAAGCAGTGCGCACCGCCGGTTCGTGTTAAATGTTCCCTGGGTGCAACAGTTGTCAATGTTGTGCGGGTGAGCTGTAATTCAGAGTCAGAATCTATATCCTGGAGGATTCCGATGAGCTACAAAGCTCTTTATAAAATTTTTTTACAGATGTCCGAGTCGATTAAACTTTTAAATAAGCCAAGACCGGCGGTACGTTTGATTGCGTCTGGGCGATCGTTCCACGCGGTCCAAGCATCTCTCTGCGTCGCCGTCGTCGAGCGAGAGAGAGCACGGCCTCTTCGGGGCTTCCTCTCTCGTCGCGCTCAATTCGTTTTAAGAAACCGTGCGGGCGAAGAGCTTATTAGACGTCGGCGGAGGAAGTTGATCCGTTGCCCGTGGGAGTCTGACGTCCTCTGCGCCCGCCGCGCGTCTCTTTCCCTCTCTCTCTCTCTCTCCGCAGCTGACGATGCCGCTGCCCGTGCCAGACACCATGAACATCAGCTACATCTGCGAGTCGGCGTCGCGTCTCCTCTTCCTCTCCATGCACTGGGTCCGCTCCATCCCGGCCCTCGCGACGCTCGGGTGCGTACCCGGCCAGCGCCATGGGCGCTGTGCCGCCATTGCCGCCAACCACCTCCCACGCTCCCCCCTTTTGGTTACAGCAGCGGGCACGGCAGGAAGAGGAGGCAGAAAGAACTTCGCAAAAGCTGAGAGTAGGCCGCTCGCTAAAGGAGAGAGATGATGGGAATGCTCACGTGGTCGCCTTATCCGATCGGATACATTTTCGTGCTCGTAATGTGTGTGCGCTGACCTGTGCGTGAGAGAATGTATTCTTATGAGTCTTATTACTCTTGTGTACCTCGTTGAATCTCGTGATGCATTTTCAGGAGTGTCCTGCCGAGTTTTCGCAGAAAGGGGGCGATGTTGTTGCTGCCTGCGTGTCATCCAAATGTAGTTATTTGCTTGTGTGTATTTGAGTTGAGTAATTGACAATTTGGACCGTGACGTCAGCAACGCAGTGTGGCCTATTTTTTTTTGCTAACGACGTCATGAGATCTTTCGACATTCCACCATGCGTGAAGCAGACGGTGAAAACAACCGCCAGCAATGACCAAGAGCGGCCCCTCGGTTTAGAGCCGTTGGCGTCTGCAGCAAGCGGTGAACCCGCTACCGCTCGGCCGCGTCACCGCTAAGAGACATGATGACGGTCGTCATTAGGGAATTCTAATTTTAATACATTCTTTATGCTCGTGATGCGTGCATCCGAGTGTTGAAGCTTATTTATATCTACGGCATGCTTTTTTGCCAGTGTCAAGATGATAAAAAAAAACAATAGGCCTTTACCCTTTTCCGGCAAAGAATCCAGGCGTGAAGATGTTCGCGAGCGTTAGGATGCGGAGCAACGGCGCGATGGTTAGCGAACTGAGCCGTGAGTCCGCCCATCTGAGTTCGATTTCCACCCCCATACCGCACCACCCCACCTCCCCTACAACCCCTCCCCCTGCCTGCCCCCCCCCCATCTCCCGTGGTCGGTGGGGTTCTCAGGCAGGAGTGCTGCACGGGACTTGTGCGCGCGTGCTGGAACGAGCTGTTCACGCTGGGGCTGGCACAGTGCGCCCAGGTGATGAACCTTCCGGCCATCCTCGCTGCGGTCATCGCGCACCTCCAGAGCAGTCTGCAGCAGGGTAAGGGGAGGGACGCGCGCGGGACTTGCAGGCATGACTGTTGCGGAGGCGTGCTAACGCGCGCGTGCGTTTACAACTGCGGTAGTGTAGCGGTTAGCCCGCTGCGCTACAAACCCGGCGATTTGAGTTCGATTCCGGCTCAAGGCCAATACCGTCGACGATTATCTGCACCGGTCCTGGGCCTCCCCTAGGTTGACTCAGCCTTAAATTAGTTCTTGGTGCAATGTGTAAACATCGCCACCCGGGAGACAAAGGCAGTCGGGCGTGGTGCTCACCACCCACCCTTTTGTGTGCCGTGCCGGCCTTCAGAGTTACCCGCTAACAGCACTTTCCCAGAAAGTCTGTTCAGGCTATGAAGGGGGTCTTTGTGTAAATTAAATAATTTCCCATTCAGATATGCTCATTACCAATGCTATGGACTCCCACTACTGTAGATTCTACAGGTATTACAAGGACATACAAAACTCAGGAATAAAATAATAAAATCTGCAGAACGCAAACTCTTCGAAGTTGCGGGAAGGCTTGTTTAACTCGCAAGAGACTAACCAACTATCTATTTTCATTTTGCTAGGTAAGGCGCACTGAGCTTCTAGCTCTTTTTCAAAAGTCACCTGACCGAAAATGATAGCTCAACGAAGTGGCATAGAATGTGAAAATGTATAGCAGCCAAATTCTCTAAATGCGTGATGTTGATTCTAATTGTGGAGGGAAAAACCGGAGGACCTGGAGAAAAATCCACGTGACCACGGGGAGAGAGACACAGCAAACTCCCAAATATACAGCAGGCGTCAGGGTTGGAATCAAACCCACGACCTCCTGTATAACAGGCGAGGCAGTTAACATCTCGCCCCCACAGCGCCTTATTAGTGGAGTTGGTTAAACATCCCAACATAAGTGCACAGAACTCGGGCAACTGTTGACGACGGTTGTAGTTACCTCCAAAGTGCGTGTCCGTCGTAGCTTCTGACTTAAAAGCTGCGATTTGCACTCGCGACACTGCATCAAAATAAAACATCACTATCTCTGAATCGGCTGAAGCCTCCCGTAAGTCACGTGACTTGTCTGCATTCACCCTCACCTCTGAATCCCTCCCCTCTCATCTTAATATCTCGTATCTCTCTCAATAAATCACCTCAAGCCTCCCGTAAGTCACGTGACTCCTGCGTGGCCACCCCCGCTCTGAACCCCTCCCCTATCTCCGTGCCGCCGCCCACTATGAAAACAGACGTTGCTCCTCCTCCGTGTAGCTGCAGCAGCGTTGAGGCCCTGATGCAGCCTGTTCCTCTCCATCATCACCTCTCCTGACCCCTGTTTGCTCCCGTTTCTCCTTTTACCTTTCCCATTCCTTTCTTCTCATTTCCCATTCAATCCGATGAGCTACAAAGCTCTTTTTCACAGACGTCCAGTAGGGGCATGGGGTAAGAACGTTACAAAAACAAACAGTACAAAAACATGATGGTAGTGCACAGTACAAGAAAGGTCAAAGTATATACAGTATTTATATCCTTGTCTCTACTCCAGGGGCGAAGCCATGATTTTGACTTTGGGGGGGGCTGACTTCAATATTCTGAGATATCCAGTGTAATGTTTTCAATGGGCGCCACAAATGTATGAAACAAATTCTATTGGATTTGAACGCGGAGTTTATTAATAGGTCGGAGCCGCTGATGTGGCTAATAAGTTCGATAAGTTCGAAAGGCTGCCGCTCAAGCAGCCTGCAGGGCAGCACGAGGTGGCAGCCTGCAGGGCAGCACGAGGTGGCAGCTTGCAGGGCAGCACACAAGGTAGCAGCCTGCAGGGCAGCACAAGGTGGCAGCCTGCAGCATTTTGCAGCAGCCGGATATCCGGTTATCCCGATTACCGACTTTCCCAAAATTTAAGGGGAGGCTAAGCCCCCCCAGCCTCCGTCCCTGCTCTACTCCCCTTCCCGTGGGGTGCCACTTGGTGAATGCGAGGGTGGAGGGGTAACCCCGTGATGGCGTGCGTGTGTGTGTGCATGCGTGTGTGCGTGTCCCCGCGTGGGGAGCGGTAGAGTAGCGGTTAGCGCTACGCTGCGCTACGAACCTGGCGACCCGGGTTCGATTCCCGCTCACAGCCAACACCCGTGACGATTATCTGAACCGGTCCTGGACCTCCCCTAGGTCGACTCGACCTCAAATGAGTACCTGGTGCGGTGTGTAAACATCGCCACTGGGGAGACAAAGGCGGTCGGGCGTGGTGCCGGCCACCCCACCCCTTCGTGTACCGTTCCGGCCTCAATAGGTGCTCGCTAACAGCACTTGCCCCTACAGTCTGTTAAGGCTATACGGGGGATCTTTGTCTTTGTGCGTGTGCGTGCGTGCGTGTGTGCACGCGTACTCGCGGCGCGTGCAGACAAGCTGCCGGCGGAGCGCGTGAAGCTGGTGGTGGAGCACGTGTGGAGGCTGCAGGAGTTCTGCCACAGCATGTCGCGGCTCGGCGTGGACGCGTTTGAGTTCGCGTGCCTCAAGGCCATCGTGCTGTTCAGCCCAGGTGGGTCCCCCGCGCTCAGCCCCACCCGGCCGCGCATCGCCTGCAACGTCAACGCCACGACACCGTCACCGTCACCGATGCCACCGTGACAACCACCCACCAACACCGCTGTTGGGCGTGATCACCACTGCCACCGCCAGCACCGCCACCGCTGCCTTCACTGCCCACAAACGCCAACGCCGTCGGCACAACCGCCACCAGCACTGCTGCTTGCAATGACCGCACCTCCGCCTCCTCTGCCACCGCCACTGCCGCCACCAGCGCCGCCGCCACTGCCCTCGCCTGCCCCCTTAATTCGTACTTCCGCACGGCGCGAGCCGAGCTTTACTTTCGCTGAGCACCATTCCCTCGCCGAGGGCGGCATCGGACTTTGCCATCGGTGGGCAACCACCCGCCGACGCGCACCGTGTGACCGCAAGAGGGCCCTCGCGCTCACGGAAGCTCGCTCGCTCAAAATTAGAAAACACAGGTGTCACAAGGTTCAGGTTGATGGCAGAATAACCCTGGGGTGTAGAACCGTTTTACTTATTGACGAGCCTTCGGCGGCCGCGCTTTGACGCACGCATACTCGCCTCGGCACTGTGCAATCATTATCTGGCCGTCACGCTCCACGGTACGTACGGTGGGTGGCCAGCACCACGCCCGGCTGCCTTTATCTCCCCAGTGGCCGTGTTTACACACACCAGCACCAGGTACTCATTTGAGGGCCGTGTCGACCTAGGGGAGGCCCAGGACCGGCTCACATAATCGTCACCGGTGTTGGCCGTGAGCGGGAATCGAACTCCGGGTCCCCGGGTTCGTAGCGCAGCGTAGCGCTAACCGCTACGCTACTACCGCTCGCTCCCCTTCCTAACCCCCCTCTCCACCGCTATCGCCGACCTGAATTGTCCGCTAGGTGGCAGTGAAGCCACGGCAGTGGCTGGCGAGATCTGTGAGTGAGTTTGCGGGATTGTGTTGAGTGGCTCTCTTCTCGATTGACTTCGCATCGGCAGACAAAGAGATGTTGATTTGAAATTGTCGTAGTGATGGTGATCGCCTGCGAAAGTGCGTGCGCAGTCGTGCGTACGCGATGATGTTGTGCATCCGTGTACATTTTGTGTGTGTGTGTGCGCGTTCACGCGTGCGTGTAGCATCGTGCGTGTGCGATCGTGCATTTAAAATCGTGAATGTAGATTCATACGAGCTTTCACAATTGCGCATGTACAATTTTTCCATCACGCTGTGCGTGCAATGCTGCCTGTGTCCTGGTGAGTGTACAGGAGTGCGTGCGTGAAGCTGCGTGTGTGCCGCATGTGTGACGGTGCGTGTGTGAGGAGCGGTAGTGTAGCGCTGCACTTTGAACCCAGCGACACAAGTTTGATTCCCGCTCATGGCCAACACAGTGATGCTTTTCTGGGCCTCCACTAGGTCGACTTAGCCTCAAATGGGTACCTAGTGCGGTGTGTAAATATCGCCACTGAAGAGACAAAGGCGGCCGGACGTGGTACTGGCCACCCACCCCCTCGTGTGCCATTCCAGGCTTCATAGATGCTCTTGAACAGCGCTTGCCCCAAACAATCTGTTAAGGTTGTGCGTGTGTGTGATAGCGCGTGTGCGTCCGCGTGCGATGGTGCGTGTACAATAGTACATGCGTGATGGTGTGTGTACGTGTGTGTATCCGTGCGTACCCTTAGACCACCCTGGGCTGGTGAACGTGGAGCAGATCAAGCAGCTGCAGGAGAGAGCCACGCTGGAGCTGCGGGGATACATGGAGTCTGCTCATCCCGACGACAGCACCAGGTGGAGCCAAACGTTCTCCTCTCCAACCTCTCCCTGCGTCTCTCTCTCAGTCTCTCCCTCACCCAACCTCTCCCAAACGCCCCAGAACTAACTCTTCCTTGCCTCTCCCCAGCCTCTCCCGACCTCTACCAGCCTCTCTCCCTCCTTCCGGCGCTCTCATTCACGAGACAAAATAAAACCTCATTTGTCAGGAGACGAGTGTGACATTACACAAATAAAATTACAATCGACTTTTGAATGCGTGGTGGAACGTGTTTAACACTGCCGCACGATTCACAGTGACGGCATCACAACTCATGTATTTTTGTCCTTTTCCCCCAAATTTTAACCACGACTGTGCTGTCGGCGTGATGCCGTGATGAGACGGGGAATCTAATCGGATCTCTCGGAGGGTAGTCCCAACCCTCCAGCCCGCGGACACGTACATGTGCATACGTGAGCGTGTTTGTGTGCGTGCGTCCGTGTGTGCTGCACGGGATGGAGAAGAGATGGAGCGATGTGGTACGAGAGGATATGGAGCTGAGTGGACTTGCCAATGACTAATACCAGCGGTGTAAAGATCGGCCTCTGTGGAGGAGGCTCGTGAAGGACACTGCTACTGGGCAGTTTGAGGAAGTCGCCCTCCAGAAACAACGGAGGGCAGAGGAGCGACGCTCACAACAATGAGCGGGTCGCCGGGCGGCTAAAATGCAGCAAGTTGGCAAGTTTGCATCTGGGTCTGTTCCGTGAGCTCCTGCCAGCGGGCGCTCGACACTTCACGTGGCCTTAAAGTGCACGTAGCCTGGCACTGGCGCCGTGATGACGTCACCGCCACTTAGTGGCGAGTGGCGGTTGTTGTTGTTGATGTACTGGGAATATTTGTGCGCGCGTGCGTTCGTGTACATGTGTACGCGTGTACGCGTGCATACCCAGGCTGCTGCGGCTGCTGCTGCGCCTCCCCGCGCTGCGTCTCATGAGCTCCGCCGTGACGGAGGAGCTCTTCTTCGTGGGCCTCATCGGCACCGTGCAGATCGACAGCATCGTCCCCTACATCCTGCGCATGGACTCCGACGACTACAAGGTGTGACCTCCGACCCCCCTCCCAGCGGCACCTCCGGACCCGGACCTCGAGTGCACGTGGAGCAAAGGAAAAACGGAGAGAAAGAAAACGATGAATGACCGCCGCCCGCGCCGCCCGCCCGCCTGCCCGACTCCTTCTTCCTCCTCCACCGAATCCGACAACTTGTGACTCTTGCGTTTACTCCTGCATCGGCGCGTAGCACTTCGGACGTTCTCCACCAAAGGAGAGCGAATTTCCGCCCCCATTTTTAATGCCGTGTAAGCGTGCGTGTTTCGTGCGCCACCTCTTCTGGCCTCTCCGCAACACTCCAGACACCTCACCCCGTCCCCCACCACCGCCCTTTCCCCGCCCGCCGCCGACGACCGTCGGGCAATGGGATTTTGAACGAAGTCGCAAGGCAGCGGCGGCGGCGGCGGCCTTACGCTTGATTTTCCCCGCAGCCCGCAGCTAAGAAAGACGCGGTGAGCTGCGTTTACCCTCCTCCTTCCCCCGAAAGATGACGAACAGTTAAACAAAAAGGAACAGAACGGGGGGGTGAAAAAAAAAAGACGACGCAAAAATTACCGTAATAATGAAAACAAAACAAGCAAAACGAAAACAAAGCCCTGCTCCTACGAACATTCTCCTCTCCGAACGAATTTCATTTTTGTTTTGCTAGACTCGTCCAAAGGATTTTTACAGCCGGAAGTTTCGTGCGCGGGGGGGGGAAGGTGGTCGAGTAGTTTGTTTCGGTCGGTAGTCGTGCCCAGCTCCTTTTCGGAACGCTTATTTCGTTGTCGTTGCCACCGCTGAGATTTCCTCTCCACCCGCAAGCCTACGACGGGCACGGCGCGGTGGGAGTCGGGGGGTGGGCGGGGGAGAAGCCGTGGAACGCGCGGAGACTTTTCTTCTCTATCGCTTCCGCTGTAAAACGGCATCAAGAGGTTATTTTTTTCCTTTCCTGAAACGATGCGGCGCGATTGTACGTTGCTTCTGAAAAACTGTGCACCCGCACGCACGCACTCTCCACACACGATGTATAGTTTTTTAAATTAAGAAACGTACGCTTGCACACTCTCTAAGCAGCATTTTCACGCAACGCACCCACTCATACCCCCCTTTTCCTCGGCCTCTCCTGACTTTTTTTTTGCACTTTGGAAGAACGTTACTGTTTTATAATCCGAAGAGCCTAAATCGCTGTAGACTACGTATATAAAATATATATATTAAACAAACAAAAAAACTACAAAAAATGTACGGGGGAGAGAGAGAGAGCGAGCGAACGAGAGAGAGAGAAGAACCGAACGTAAAGACGAAATCGTGCGGCAATGTTGCGAAGGAAGATGCCGGCTTCCTGAAGGCGGAGCAATGACGGGACAAGCAGAGGCACGCGCCGCGGTCGTTTTGAACAACGGCGTCGCTGCGGGAAACAAACAAAAAGGTTTCAAAAGAGAGGGGAAATCATGGAAAGAAGAGGAAATAAAAATACAAATCGTCATCCCTTTAATGCGCGGCACTCATCCTCCTGCACTCCGCCCCTCCTCCCTCCCTCCACAGGGGGTCACGGGGTCAGCGTTAACATTGCACTTATTTTTCGCTTTTAGTCTTTTACGGGGGACGCGTGGGAAGCGGAGACTGCGCGCGGCGCGCGCCGACTCTTGCCGCTAACGAGAGGTGAGAGAGACGCTGGGGAGGGAAGGGGGGCGGCACGGCCAGCCACGTTCGCTGTTTTCCGCTGACGCTCGGCTTTTCCACCACCGTTTCGGGAACTCCCCTCCCCCGGGTTCCAATCTTGTTCGAGGGTCGACCCGGCCCGTTGTTGCTTCCAGGGTGGACAAAGTAAAGTATTGCTTTTTTGCTGTAAGGGTCCCGCCCGTCGGGCAGACTGTCCCCTGCCGTGGGATTGTGAAATTGACACCGCTTGATCTTCTTGGTGGGTTTTTACCAGCGCAGCTGAATGCCCCCCCCCCTCACCCCGGCCACCCCCCCTCAACCCCGCTCGTTTTGACGTTGGCTTCCGGGTGCTCTGACTCAGGTGGCGCCATTGTGGTGGCGTTGTTGTCCTGGTTGTGAGCTTGCGGGGGTTTTAACGTTGACCCTCCTGGGGTTGAACCGCGATCCCTGCGTTTTTTTAGTTTTTGCCAAAACCGCCTTTCCCAGGGCCACCCCGACCCCTCCCCCCCCCCGGCAGAGCCGGTCTGCGCGCCCGGTCCCAACGCTCACCCGCGTGCCCGTCGTTTGTAATTATTATTTTTGACTACGAAAAAAAGGAAGAAAAAAAATGATATATATGAATCGCATGTTTGAATTGCACCTTTTTTTCCTATAGCACAACACGAATGCACATCGCTGTCGGGGGGGGGGGGGGGGGGGGGGGGGGAGGTCCTTCTCCCACGCGCGCATTCTCATTGTCATCGTCGCCGTTGTCGTCGCCATTATTATTGTTATTATTGCTACTATCACCTTTTACTTGCGCTCAAAGGCACACGTATTTCTCGAGACGCGGGAGAAGCGAGCGAAGTTAAACTTTGCGCTCCCCGCGCCCACCGGCGCTTTTCGGTGAAAGGGTGGGGGGAGGAATCTGTCTTTTTTTTTTCTTCGTGGGGCATATTTCGTTGCATTTTTATTTTATATATATTTTTAGAAACCCCCCCCCCCCCCCACCCCACCTCGTCATTTCCACACGGCGGCTGCCACCGCTTGCGAGAGCATGCAGAGCGAAGAAAGGCGCTGTGGGGTTTCGTTGGCGATGGTTACATTCCATTGAGCGCGGAAGTTCGGGGAGGTTACGGAGCGGTGAGATGAGTCGCGGGGGTCCCAACGGTGCGTTACGGAACACCGGCTGTGTCCCGCTGCTGCTGCTGCTGCTGCTGCTGTATGCAAGTGTGCAGTCGAGCGTCGCTGCGTGCGTGCGTCAGCCAGGGTGCGGGGCGCGCGTTCGGGAAGAGTTCGCACGTGTGGCGTGGTTTCTGTGTTTGCTCCACAGAGCGTTGCATTGTTGTTATTTTTTTACATCGTATCGTAGTCATCGATAATAATAATAACATTATTATTACGACTGTGTAGGTTTATTTGCGATTCGGCTGCAGAGCTCTCCGGTGCATTCTTCTGGTCGTGCCGCCTGACGTTCTTTTTGTTCACGATGTCTTGACGTTCGGCGCACGCGGCTGGGAGCTCGTTCAGGAACTGTGTTTTTGAACGCGTCGTGGGTTCGAATTATTTTGGTTCGCTGAAGGAGACGCGGTAACAACGCGAGAACGCACCAAGCACGCCTGTCGCCTTCGTCGTCGTCGTCGTCGTCATCACGAGTTTTCAAATTTCCCTCGATAAGCTCTGTTGTGTGTAGTCACTTGCTGCATTTTGCCTGGATCATGTGATGCCTTAGATCCTACGAAAACGAGGGCCGGGTGGCCGATGCGTGCTTTTGGGATGCGCTTTGAGCCCTCTGGCAACCTCGGGTCGCAGAGGCAGTGGTTCCATCGGTCGCCCCCCCCCCCTGAGCGATGAGGGGCGTGCAACAACGACGATAGTCGCGGCCACGCGGATGCTTCATGTCGTTTTTCAGTTTTAAGAAAACTAAAAATCAGTCCTAATTAAACGTTTCTTCGCTAACGGCGGCGACGTTTTTCAAATCGATGGAATTTCAAAATCCAAGCGGTGTTTTATTTTCTTCGTGCTTTCTTTTGGTCGCACTGGCATTTGAGCACCTTGGGCGGTTCGCCGTCGCTTAAAGAGGCGAGCGAGCGAGCGAGGAGGAGGAGGAGCGAAGAGCGGAGGGTCGCAGACGGACGGACGCACGCGCACCGCACTCGCGCAGACAACACAGATGAAGCCGCGCTTGTACCGACGGCGTGTCACGTTGCGCCGCTTGTGCTGCCGCGTAGCTCTCTCTCTCCGAACGCAGCCCCAATTCAGGGGGCCCCGAGCGCGCCGACGCCGTCGCAGGCGCGCGACGTGTCCCGGCCGGGGGCGGGGGGGGGGGGCGAGCTTTGAATTGCAGCGTTAAAAATAAACAGAAAACATTCTCCTCCGCGCCGAGCGACACGCGGGACAACCCGCAAACGCGCAGTGGGCGGGGCGGTGGAGTTGGCGACGATGGCGAGCCTGCGCCAGGCCGCAACCTGCTCGCGGTTTTGCGTTCTTAAAAAGTGGCACCCTTTGCCCGCCCGCCGCGTGCTCAATCGCGTCCCCCGGTCGCCCTGCGGTCACGTCAGAAATTTCCTCCTGAAGTCGCACTTTTTGTTAAATGCTTGGCGGGAACGGAAAGGTGGGGGGGGGGTGTGTGGAGAGGCGACGATCGGTGCCGTGCCGGCAGCTGTGGTTCCGTACACCCCGGTGGGGTGGTGGCGAGTGAAATGATGCATCTGAGCTTTACGATGCACGTGGTCAGGTTGTGCGCGTAGGCGCTGATGGGGGTTTTCGTTTGGGTTCGCGTATGTGCTGGGGGTGGAGCGGTGGAACTGCGGTTAGCGCACGCTGCGCTGTGAATCGTGCGGCTATAACGCGCCTTCTGGTCGGTGAATCCGGCACCCCACGCTTCGATTCCCGGCACCCCACGGTTCGAGCCTGAACGATAACGGCACCCATCCTGGGCGCACCGCCCGTTGGCCAACGCGAACTGACCAGTGTGGCGAAGTTTGGTTCGAAAACAACGCCCAATTGCCCGTGGAGAGTCCTTCATCCAGCGGTGGATTGATAATGGTCTTCAAATTATGACTGTCGTTCGTTGCAATTGTATGTTGCGCGATCACCTTTCAAGTTGATTTTTTTTTCCGTGTCAACCAAGTGAGACGACCAACACGACACCGGGATGAGGCTCATTTTTCCGGGTTACCGAAAATGCTGCGTGACGCCCCCTCGCCACGCTTCATGCTGCGCAGTTCAACTTTGAACAATTCGTTGTTCCGTTTTTTTTTGTTTGGCACATTGTTCCTTGCGTTGTCGCCAAACAAAAGGTCGCAATTTGGGATTCAATAATTGATTCCTTGCGATACGATTCGTTCTCACCCCTTGGATTCGACAACCGATTGGTTTGGGGTTTTATTTTTGTTAACGCCGCTATTAGATTATTTGTCACGGTGTGTGTAGGCGTCCACGAGTCAATTCAAACATCGTCGTCAGCCGGTAGCGCCTCTAATGGCTGCGGGCGGTGGGGGGGGGGCTGAAGCCGATCCGATGACCCTGTACAACTCGGGAAACGGAACAAAAAAACCCCCCATTATTGAGTCTTGCACGCGCGCGATTCAGCGTGCGTGTCGCGAGCCCCCTAAGAATCCACGTTAATCCGATGCATCGTTCGACCCCCGGGGCACGCGCGCGTACACGCGCACACGCGCGTCGCACACACGCGAGTACGTGTGTGTGTGTGTGCGCGACGCTCGTGTGCACGCCACTCCCCCGCCCCCACGTCGCCAACCCACAGTGGAGGTGACGCTATGCTCTGGAGCAGGGGTGGGGAGCCACGGTGGCTAGGAGATGTTAACTCCCTCGCCCGGTGTACAGGAGGTCGTGGGTTCGATCCCGACCCTGACGCCTGCTGCTGCCGCTGTATATTTGGAGTTTGCGTGTCTCTCTCCCCGTGGTGGTCGCGTGGATTTTTCCTTGGTTTCTTTCTTCAAGATTTAGAAACACCGCGATAAGCCGCTTCGCCGAGCTGTCATTTGTGATGGCCAGGGGTCGCTTTTGAAAAACAGCCACATCGCTCAGTGGGGCCTTACCTGGTAAAATACAAAATAGTTTAGTTGATGAAAAACAACTTTAGTTTTCAATTTCCTTACCGAGGGCCAAATAGGACTTCACACACCTTTGGCGGCCAACCACACGTGAGCACTCCTCGCAACCGTGCGCTCGCGTTGTCACTCGTTTATAGAAACGCGCAAAAATATCCCGCGCGCCGACCAAGCGCATGGAGGCACTCGCAGTGACGGAAGCGACGGAGCGCGTGGCTGTCCAATTAACAAAAACCACGGCGTCGTAGCCAGGTGGTGAAAAACGTTGACCTACCCCCCCCCCCCCCCCCTAGCGCTCGAGTAGTGGTTCCTCCTCCTGCTGCTGCTGCTGCCCTGCTCTAGAAGCCGGGTGTCGAATCCTGCGACGACCGTGTCACCGGTGTGCGTCCTCCGCCAACCGGGGTTGTGTGGAGGTCGTTGGCTCCTCACTTCCCAAGTTTGTTTTCTCCTTCCACCCCCCCCCCCCACTTCACGAGAGGTTTTTGTGGTCGTGCCGTAGCAATCGTAGCCACCTCCCCCCACCCCCCCCGCGTCCCCCCCCCCCGAGATGATGTAAAAATGTTCACGGCGGGGGGGCCCGCGGAGTGGTTTTGGTGGTCGCTGGGGTGCGACGCCGCAAAGCGCTG